CGTACTTAGAAGATACACATTTATATGCAATATGTGTGGCCAGGTATGGTAGGTACACACCTGTAATCCAGCACATGAGACAAAAATAGGGGATCAAGGCTAGCCTGGACCACACAGTGAGACCCTGTTTCTCTCTTCCTCTCTTTCAAACAATATACAAAACAAAGAGCGCACCTGTAGATTTGGGTAAGTGTTTAAGGAAGTCCTTCCGGTCCTGCTCATGTAAGATGCTGTAGACACTTGTATTAACCAGGTCCTCCTGCTTGTACTGTAGATACTGTGTGACATTTTCTGACACAAATACAATGTTGCCATCTCGATTGACCACAAACAGAAAACCATCCAATGCCTACAATGGGACACGTTAATAGAGGCTATTATGAAAACTGTATCCCTGTAGCCCAAAAACAGTAAAGCCCTTCACCTCTTTCTGCAAGGGTTAGGGTTACATTTAGGGCTAGGTTGGGGTTATCCTTAGGGTTAGGGTTAGGTTAGGATTAGGGTTATACTTGCAAATAGAGCCTCTAAAGAGTCGGTAAGTATTAAAGCTGACCCAATTCAGTATAAGTGGTGTTTTCTCAGGACAGATAACAAGACACCAGGGACACACATTCAGAGAAAAGGTCATTTTAAGGCATGGTAACAAGCCAAGGAGAGAGAACTCAGGAGAAGGCAACCTGGTCACCACCCTGATCTTGAACTCCAGTCTTTAAAACTGAAGATATCAGCTCCTATTGCCTGAGCCACATGCTCTGTGCTATCCTAGCAGCCCTAGCAGACCTAGATTACAGCCTTCTTGGTAAATAGAACTTCAAAGCAGCAAAATCAACAATACTAGCCAAATAATCAGAGTAAATACAAACTATCACTTCTATTAACAGACTATTAGCATGATTATTCCAGAGCTTATAAAGGATTTTTTTAAGTGAAGGGAAAAAAAAAAAAAAAAAAAAAAAAAAAAAAAAGAAAAAAAAAAAGAAAGAAAAAAAGAAAAAAGAGAGAGAGAGAGAGAGAGAGAGAGAGAGAGAGAGAGAGAGAGAGAGAGAGAGAAAGGGCATGACATAGCACACATTCAGGAGGTAGAGGCAGGAGCTGAGGTCACCCTAGGCTATCTAGCAAGTTCAAAGACAGCCTGGGCTAACAGTACACACTGTCAAAAATAAAGCTTTCTGCCTGATCCTAAGTTAAATTATAGGAATTATCATACTGTCCCTGAACAAGCGTGTAAAAAGAATTTAAAATGATAAAACACATAAGTAGTTGAGATGACTCACTGAAAGAAAGACCAGTTGTCAAGTAAACTCGCTGAAGCGCTCGTCGGCCTGAAGTAGCACTGCGCCATGGTTAATCAGCTCTTCTCAAGGCAATTACTTTAAAAACATGCACATGTTTAATGTTTGAAATTGCCTCACAAGCTGGGTGCAGCTCCATCACAGAGCACTTGCCTAGCATGCATGAGGTCCTGGGCTCCCTCCCCAGCACCATGAATAAAATTCTCCAAGAATACAGAGCTGAGGGCTGAGGTTGTCACTTGGTGGAAACATGCTTGCCTACTGTGGTCACCTAGCATGTGCAGGCCTTTGGTTCAATCTCAAGCACAAAAAAAGAAAAAGTAAAACTGTAGTAGTGTGCTGTGCAAGCAATCATGAAAAAAAGCCACAGAAAGGTCTGAACTAAAATACACCAAGTAGCACCTCTGGGTGCTGGTGACCTGTGAGTTTACAAGCTACTCTTCCTCAGGAACTTCTTGTGTGCGTGCACCCTGCTCCCGTGTGTGTGTGTGTGTGTGTGTGTGTGTGTGTGTGTGTGTGTGTATGGTATTTTCAGAACTATATACTTGTGACTGCTATGAGAATACTGAGCTATTTTCTCATTGCCAGCACCCCCTGCGTCCACCCTGTATATACCACAACCAAATCACAGCATGCTCTGGACAGCTACAATCTTCGCACCTACCTGTAGTAAAAGTGGTCCTAACGAGTCTTTATCAATGACCGCCTGTCCTGTAGAAGACACATCAGCTTTCTGAACATCATCATCACTGGAAATAGTTTTTCCTGAAGACACAGAGGAAGCATCGCAGTGAGCAGCACTTACCTCAGTATGCGCACGCACACTGGGGAGTAGGAAGCATGTACACATGTACATGTACACGTACATGCAGAACACTCGGTGTATGTATGTAAGAGAATACCACAACTTAACATTATCCAGCTTTGTGGTTCCCCACGAAGACAAAAGGCACTCAGCTCCCTTTCTGCTAAAGGTGCCAGTCTAGGCCCCAGCTCCCCTCCCTCCAGCATGTGGCATGACGAGGAACTCTGGTCTTCTGCCACTTCTCTGGTAATTGTTTTTCTTAAAAAGCAAAGTTGATCACTCCAGGGGCTTGCTTCTTGCTTAGCATGAGCAAGGCTCTGTTCAATCCCCATGACCCAACATGTGGGAAGGAGGCATTTCCTGACTTTGTTATTACCTTGCTCTTTTATCTGACGTATCTGTCTCACTGTTTCCTTTAAAATCGCACATTTATCTGGCTTGACGTTGAAATTGTCAATATCACTAAGATTTGCAGATATCAGCTCAGCCAGTTCTTCTATATATTTGCTCTCCTGCTCCCGTCTCCACTTTTCACCATTGTAGGTAAGACTGGAATAGGGAGAAGAAAAGCCACAGCTCACATCTCTCAAGAAAGCTTCAAGTAGAATCTGCCCACGGAATGCTATTAGTTTCATGTGGAAACAAAATTCAGCCAACAAGAACTGTCAGAACATAGCGGGACAAAAGCATGCACTGCAGAAATTCCTGCAGCTTCTGATTCATCACTGGCCTTGACAAAAATCAACCCCAGTTCCTCCATCTAAAAAGCGGAGACAAATCACCTACCCCTGTCCTGGAGGGTCACAAGGCAATTTGCGTTTTCGAGACTCAGTGGCCAGTGGATCCAAGGAGCTTTCACCTAATCCACTCATCTTGAACACAGATCCAGCAACTAAGAAAGAAGAGGGAACAAGATAAGAACTAAAACATATTTTCTATCAAAGTGTCATATGACAGAATGGCTGCACGCTGTGGTCCGGAGGCCCTTTTTCAGTGTACGTGTTATAGATGAGTGTGCTCACACAAGCTCAGAGCTTAGCTGCACTGTAACCATGCTGGGCCTGGTGGTACAAGTCTGTATCTAGCACTCATAAGGCTGAGACAAGGGTTCTAGGCAAGCCTAGTGTGATGGCTTATAAAGAAAAAAAGGCCCCCAAAGGGAGTAGTACTATTAGAGGGTGTGGCTTTGTTGGAGTAGGTATGGTCTTGCTGGAAGTAGTATGTCACTGTGGAGGTGGGCTTTGAAGTCTCACTCAAGTCATGCCTCATGTTTCAGACCATGTCCAGTTGCCTGCCTGTTAAGATGTAGGACTCTCAGCTACTTCTCCAGCACCACGCCTATCTGCACACCACCAAGATGATAATGGATTAAACCCTGAAAATATAAGCTACCCCAATTAAATGATTTTCCTTTTTAAGAGTTGCTATGGCCGGGCGATGGTGGTGCACACCTTTAATCCCAGCACTCGGGGGGCAGAGGCACGGATCTCTGTGAGTTCAAGGCCAGCCTGGTCTACAGAGCTAGTTCCAGGACAGGCTCCAAAGCCACAGAGAAACCCTGTCTCGAAAAACAACAACAACAACAACAAAAGAGTTGCTATGGTTATGGTGTCTCTTCACAGCAATAGAAACCCAAATTAAGACACCTGAGAAGAGTCTGGACCACAGAGTAAAACCCTATGTCAACATACATATCACAAAATAAATTATATTTAATAAGAGACTATCAAGACTCCAATCTAGATAAAATTCTAAATTTTATTTATATCCAAGCAAGCAGAAGAGATAAAAAATCTTATCCTGTGGTGAGCCCAGACTAAACTAGTCAGAATTTTTTTAATATTTGTTTTTATTTTCTGTGCAAAATAAAAAATATTTGATTTTACCTGCATGCACCACGTGTGTGCAGTGCCCACTGAGGTGAAAAGAGGATGTCGCTCTCCTGGAGCTGGAGTGAAGATGGAGTGGGTGTGCTGGGAACAGTACCTGTGGTCTCTGTCCAAGCAGCCAGTGCCCCTAACCACTGACTCCTCCTCCAGTCCACAGGCTCTCTTTCTAGCTAGCGCTTCTGTCCAATGGGTCATTTCTCTAATATTTATCACCTAATATTCTTCTTCCGTTAAGTTCAAATAAGCCTAGCCTATATAATAAACATTAATGTAAAAGTCCTGTACAGGGCTGGAGAGATGGCTCAGAGGTTAAGAGCATTGTCTGCTCTTCCAAAGGTTCTGAGTTCAATTCCCGGCAACCACATGGTGGCTCACAACCATCTGTAATGGGGTCTGGTGCCCTCTTCTGGCCTGCAGGCATCACACAGACAGAATATTGTATACATAATAAATA